ATAAAATAACCATGGAATGAATGTGAATTTTGTAAAATTTAGTTTGCTTAAGTGGCTGCATTTTGGCGATAATAAACTTGAACAATCATGAAAAATGTTTTGAAAGATGTGGTCTATCCACTGTGCACTGGCTCCCGTTGTAAAGAAGCCAGCAAACCAATATTGATTACAGCAGCCCAGTCCAGACCTTCCCATCCCTACGCCAAAACTAACCCGCCCACATTTCTAAGACTGTGTAAATCCCTTGCACATTTGTAGATGAGAGAGCATGTGAAGGTTTGTGTGTTGTTTCCTAGTTTGGATAAATTGGAAGCCATTTTGCTGCAGGATTAAATAATATTTAGGATATATTGTCACCTTGCTTTAAAAGGGAAATGTCCTTTTGAATAATGTCTATTGATTGACATTTTTATTAAAAGTGGACAAGGTACAGCATTTGTAGGTAATAATTAAGATGACAAAATAGTAGATTAGAAAGGAGCCAACGTTTACAAAACTAATACCAGTAAATATTTACTGTGTGACTTTAGTAATTACACCTGAGGTTAAAGTGCTTCACAGTTTATTAGCACAGTATTTCCTCCAGATGGCACTTTGGTTCCATGCATACATATTCGCAGTGATGTATATGTTACTGTTTTCAGAACTGTATTTGCAATAAGGAAGATTAATATTCGCATTGTGGTATATGGCAAGAACCAGGGAAGAATTCTTTTTCTCTGGCTATGTGCAGTGAAATTCTAAACATCTCTGTTTCGTATTTCAGCAGATTCATGCTGTTAGAAATGTGATATTGTGAGCATTGTTTCCAGAGTTGATCATACAAATGAATCTGATATGAACATTTCTGTGTTAGATCTGTTTTGTTTTATTTATTGGAATATGTGCAGTGCTGACCAGGCCAGCATTTATTGCCCATCCCTAAAACCTTTGAACTGAGTGTCTCACTTGGTCATTTCAGAGGGCACTTGACATTCAGCCACATTCCTGTGGGTCTGGAGTCACAAGCAGTCCAGACAGAGTAAGGATGGCAGATTTCCTTCCTTAAAAGACTTTAGTGAAACAGACTGATTTTTGTAAATACCAATGCTGGTTTGGGATGAGTTTTATGTTTCAGATTTATGGACCGAGTTCAAATTGCACCATCTGCTATAGTGGGATTTGAATCGATTCTCTAGGTCGTTAGCCTCTGGAGTACCTGACCAGTAAGCTTACAACAATGACGCTGTTTTGCACAAGGTCATTTAACTGAAAATGGTCTCCTAAATCACTTATACTTGAAAGCTGTTTCTATATGTTTTGTTTACTGTTCTTTGTAACACAAATGTCAGAACAGGCTGTTTTGGAATAATGTGCAATCCCATCCCACAGCGTTAGAATATAAATTTCAGATAAGATTCCCCATATTTGAGACAATACAAATTCAGAGCAGGAGTGGGCTATTTGACCCATCAAGTTGATCATGGCTGAGTTGCCTGTGGCCTCTATTCCATCTTCATGCCTAACCCCAATAATCTTTGACTCCCTTGTTAGTCAAGAATCAGTATCGGTCTTGAAAATATTCAATGACCCTCCCTCCACTGCTTTGGGGAAGAGAGTTCCAAACACAGAAAATATTTCTCTCCATCTCTTCTGTGATGGAAGACCCCCTATTTTCAAACTGTTTCCCATAAGAGGAACCATGCTTTCAGCATCCACCCATGTCAGGATCCCGTAAGCCTCAATAAGATCACCTCTCACTCTTCTAAACTCCATTGGTACAGGTCTAATCTGACCAACCTTTCCTCCATAAAATAAACACCTTCACCACCACCCCTGTCCAACCCAACTCCAATCCCAGGTATCAGTCAAGTGAGCTATCTCTACACTGCTTCTAATGCATTTATACCCTTTCTTAAATGAGACCAAAACTATACGCAGTACTGTAGGTGTGATCTCACCAGAATGCTGGACAGTGGTAGTAAATCTTCCCTACTCTGATATTCTGTTCCCCTCACAATAAATGACAACGTTACATTTTCCTTCCGAACCACTTGATTGCCTGCTGCCAGTGTAATCCATGTGCCCTCCATGCCCCGATTCCACTCTACCTCAGAATTCTGCAGTTTTTCCACATCGAAATAATATGTTACTATTGTGTTCTTCCTGCTACAGTAGACAAGTTCAATTTTTTTCTACATTATACTGCAGTTGCCCAATGTTTGCCCATTCGCTTATCCTGGCTATATTGCTTTGCAGACTCCTTCTGTCATCTTCACAATTCACTTTTCTTTGTAACATTGGCAAATGTAGCAAGCATACATTCTGTCTCTTCATCCAATTAATTGATGTAAAGTATCAATAATTAAGGCCTCAGCATTGATTCCTGGCACTCCACTTGCCAACCCAAAAATGACTTGCTTATACCTGCCCCCTGTTTGTCCTCTATCCATGCTATCAGCCCCTACTCATTGTGGACATTTGTGTTGCATTATAATCTTTGAAATGGCAGCTTCTCAAATACCTTCTGGAACTCTAAGTGTAGCACATGCATTGGTTCCATGTCATCCTCATTGCTCGTTATTTCCTCAAAAAATTCCTGTAAGTTAGTCAAACATAATTTACCTTTCTCGAGGCCATGTTGATTCTGTCTGATTGCATCAAGGTTTTTTAAGCGCCCTTTAATGAAGGATTCCAGCATTTTCTCTATTGCAGGTGTTAATTGGCCTGTATTTCCCTGCTGTCTATCCATACAATCCCCAACTCAGTTTCTTGAGTACAGGAGTTACAGTGTGCTATTTTCCAATCTGATTATACCTTTCCAGAATCTAGTACCTCATCTACTATCTCGGCAGCAAGGTGTTTGAAGTCCATCAGGACCTAGAGACTTATCAGTTTTTAGTTCTAATAATTTTCTGAATAGTGTTTCCCTGGTGAATGTAATCGTCTTAAGTTCCTCCCTCCGTTTTAAATCCTAGTTTTCAGTTACTTATATCCTCAACAGTGAAGACCAATACAAAATAGAAAGAGGAGACTGTAGTTAGGGAAAGATTTTAGGAAAAACTCAATGTTGTAGAGAGCCGAATTTAAGGTAAATTAAATATTCCATAGTGCTGTCAAGCATACACTATTTTTCGTTCCTCAGAGTTTGTGGAATGGGTAAATATTATGAAATGGAGTTTCCACTCATTTTCTGTCTAGGTTCCACTGCAATTGGCCCAGCCATTGCAAAGGATTGTGACATTCGAAACCTGGGTGAGTTACGTCCAAAGATACTTACGTTCTTATTTTCCACAATCATCTTATGATGGATTAAGATCATTTTGCCAGGAGAGAGTCAGGTCTCACCCACAAACTGAGCTACACTTCCGCGTCAAAGTACCAGGGTTTCCACAGGGTTCCACAGCACTTTTCAAATTGTGCCCGTTTGCTGAGGCACACAGGCTTTGGTAAACAGGATTTGCAAGCTTCTGCAAAGCAAAAATCAGGAAACTGAGCAGTGTACGCCAGTGAAACCAGTCAAATGGTTCAATATATAAATGCACTCCGTTGATCCAGCCTTGGGACTGAGACTGAGGAGTTTGGAACTTGCTGGTTTTCTGAGGAAATACAATTGGAACATGTCAAATTCCAATTGGAATGTTTTAATCCAGTAACTAGGGAATCCAACATGATTACAAAATACTTTAGGTTCATGGCCATATGTTGTTGATATTTATTCACTTCCCATCCATTGGTTGTAAGAATGTTTATGCTTTGTGTGTCCCTCACTTCTCAATATCAGTATGATAAATGATCTAATTAAAGTAGATCGAAGTTTAAGCTAGTGAAAGGCAAAATTGCAAACAGATATTGATCCATACTGATCAGGTGTGAGATCACTGTATGGAATGAATTTCTTGATGGAGAAGTGAAAGCAAAAAGTGCAGTAATCTGTCAGGAACAATTGAGATCTGTTGGTTCTTTTAGATGCGTTAAGTGAGTAGGATCAAGTGGTTTTCTGTATCTGTAACCATATTTGATCTTGTGAAATCAGTAGAACTTAGTACAGACTGTAAAGCCAAAACCTCAAAGCAAGTCTTTGTCACAACTATCTAGAAAACAAAAGCTGGCCAAAGCATGTTTGCACACTTGACACCAAAACACACATGTTCATTAAGGTACTGAAACATGCAACACCAATTTACATTTTCTGGCTTTGCACTAGTTTAGAATTTGACTTCTTTGTTAGCCATTATGATTTATTCCTGCAAAAATGCTGAGAACTCAGTGCTTTTAGTCACATAATTGTGTGGCATATATTAGCAACACAGACATATTCTTCCAAGCATTTGAAACACTTTTTGTGAGAGTCTAACTTTGCTTTGGAAATGGAAGAACAGGAGATGCTAATGATGCCGTCTGTCATGTTTGATTTCTGAAATGGTGTACACTGTCAAGTTGGATGTGCTTTGTAATAAGCTGCTATGGAACTGCGCTGGAGATGTTCCACTGTTATCCTTCATGCTGAGCTCTCATTACTTCAAAATACATATCCAGAGCTAGTATTTGTACAGTTTTTTTCCAGATGTTCACATATGGTTTAGATGAGGAGGAGATGGTCGCATGTGAAAGGCTGACCAGCTGAGTTATGTACACCGTTACAGTACCTGGCACTGTCGTATTTTATGCTTTTAATTGTATGTTACATGAGCTGGTCACCCCCTCGATATTCTGCTGTTGCATCTTTGAATTCCCTTTGCTCAACATGTTTAGGCTATCTTGCTGAGAAAGTATTGACCTAAAAGAGCAAATAAAAATAAGTAATGACATCGGGACAGTTTGACAGCCTTTGTAGGTCTGTATTGAGAATTTATCATCTTTTGTTTTGCAGACACTGCCTTGTGATATAGACCAATCAAATATGCCCATGAATGAACAATGAGGGAGCATGGACATAATTTATTTCTGTCTCAGCGGGACTGTGTCTGTAATGCAAATGCTGAGAATCGATTTTGTCTGAACTGTCTTTTCTCTTGCAGGGTTTGGCCATCTATCGCACACTGCCACCAGCTGAGGCGAAACGAAACACTGCGCAACAAGCAGGGGGAGCATGTACAAGAGGAATGGCCTGATGGCCAATCTGAGAGTCACGTCTGCCACCCCAGAGGTAAGGTATGAACGTGTGGATATATCACTCCTCTTCAGATAGGCTGAATGAGCCAGCTATGAACAAGAGCCATTTATCCTGTTGGCCTTATTGTCATCACTGTTGACTGCACTCCTGAGATTTGTGTAATTTGCAGACTTTGAAATGATATCTAATACACCAAGTCCAGGTTATTTATATATAATCAAATAAGAAATCACACCTCCCCCAGCTGATCATACTGTGCACTTCTGTGTAACCTGACAAACAGCCAGTGCCCAATTAAAATAAACTTGATGCATGATATATGGGGTGATTTTTAAAAAATGTCTTTATGTCCTTTCAGTAGTGCTTGTCCTCAGCAGCCTCTAACCCCCACCACTGCCATAGTATCACCTCTCTGACCATCACCACAAGAGATTCCCCATTGTCATTTTCATCCAAACCTACAATAAAATCCCTATTTTCAAATTGGCTGCAGGCATTTCAAACAAAGTAGCTGCAATGGTTCCACTTATTTTTAATGCTTTTTTTAAACGGCGGTGTATTTTTTTTTCATTTCAAAGTGCCATTTATTTCAGTCGCGCATTCATAAGGAGAGCCTGTTTGTATGAATTGAGATTAGAGAACCACGTTTTCAGTATTATTTCTGGCCACGTTGCTCTGGTAGCACCCTCACTTCCCTGTCACAAGGTCCTTGGTTCAAGTCCCTCGCTGGCCCTTGGGTACAAACATCAAGGCTGACGCTGAAGGAGAAGTGAATTATAATAGCATCCTCTTGTTTCATACATGGCCACAAGAGAATGCTATTACAGTATTTATGTGTGTTTGTTCTGGAATTCTACCTGTTTACAAATGGAACATCTTACTGCAAATCTTGAAGAATTGAGAAAAAAGAACAAGAGCTGAGGTGTAGAATATTATGACAAAAGTTGAAGAGAATAACTGGATTACCCTAACAGCGATACGGGTCGGGAATCCATTATCTGAAAATCTTGCGACCGACGGTTTTCGGATAAAGGATATTTTCGGATACGTTTACCCATGGTTTGTTTGGGTCCATTTGCAAAAAAGCTTCGCTTAGTCCAAATAGACCTAAAAGTGAAGTTTGTTTTAAAGGGCCTGAGCACTTCTGTAGATACGCTCAGTTCAGGGTCTGGGGACAAAGGAACTTTGCTTTTATGTCTGTTGAAGTCCATTTGGGCCAAGCAAAGTTTTTTTCCAAAGAGCCTGTACTTGGTGTGTTCAGGGGCTGATTAGCTCAATTGGCTGTACAGCTGGTTTGAGATGCAGAGTGGCCTTCACAGTGTGGGTTCAATTCCTGCACTGACTGAAGTTACCATGAAGGATTCCTCTTCTCAACCTCTCCCCTTTCCTGAGACGTGGTGACCTTCATGTTAAACTACCACCAGTCATCTCTCTCTCTAATGAGAGAGCAGCTCTATGGTCTGGTAAGACTGCGGCAATTTTATTTCTGCCCAGCCTGTTTACAGAGCTGTTTGAGTCCGCTCTCAAAAGGACCTTCAGATTTTAGGTCTTTTCAGTTTTTGGAAGTGTGGATAAAGGATACCCAACCTGTAATACCAAAGGCAAATGATAGTGTAATATTATGTGGGGATTATGTAGTTTCTATAAATCGGGTAGTAGAATGTAATTCACCTGACAGTTTGCCCAACAGATGTGTATGCTATGTTGTCAGGAGGTCAAATCTTTTGCAAAATCAAACCTGACAAATAAATGCCTATCTATAATTTGAATTAGATGATCAGTCAAAGTCATGTTTGACTATTAATACCCACATGGGTCTCTTTCAGTTTCATAGGCTGCCATTTGGTGTTTCTTCAACCCCTGGAATTTTTCAAGAGGTAACAAAACAAATTTTGCAAGGAATTCGGAGAATAGGTGTTATTTTGATCACGCCCTTACTTCACACTTGAAGTAGGCAGACCCAGGATGACCGACTGAACAAGGTGCAGAATCATTAGAAAAAGTACGAAGTTCAAGCAAAGGCAGTCAACTGTGAAACTTCCAAAATTCTGTTCAGTATTAGGGTCACAGGGTGGATAATAATGGGTTACTTGCTGCCCAGAGGAAGATTCAAACAACGTACCCACACCCTCGGTGTTTAACAGCTCAGATCTTTTCTTGGATTCGATGCATTATTACAGTAAAGTCACAATAAATTTGACAGCCTTGTTGCATCTATTGAATAAACCCTTGAGGAATGGTGTTCCACAGCTTTGGACAAAGGAGTGACAAAACAGGCAAGTTGTGTAATAGTAAATTGGAAGTTGGCGCAATATTTTTACAATACGATGGGTCCAAAAAGATTGAGCCAGTATGTGATGTCCCTCCATAATGGGTGCTATAAACTCTCATTGTTGGATAATGGTGACAACAGGCTGATTGCATTTGCCTCAGTGTCAGTGAGTAAAATTAAGCTCAGAATCTTTGATTTTTTTTTTGGAGTTAGGTGATTTATTAAATACTTGTACAGTGTTAGTTTCACAATCAAAACTACTTATAAGCCACTGGCAGTTGGTTTGAAACCAAAGGCTCCAGAATTCACTTTAACAGCAGCCTGAATGCAGATCTGACTTTAATTTTGATTGCTTGTAGAGTGACATTAAATGCAAATGATCGGAAGATCATTGCAGTGCAGTGTAATCTCTGGATTACTATCCTTGTCTAATGCAAACCAACACCTAGGATGTATTTTTCTTCACACGTGTAGAAATGTTGCCAGACACAGCAGATACTTTTGCTGGAACAACTTGGAGGAGCCTGTATTATTAAGGGTGTATGATTATATCACAAATGAGCAGCCAACAGTGGATTTAGAAATCAGGCCTTTATTTTACCGCAAGACTGAGTCATCAATTGATAAACACTGGGAGGTAGAGTTATAATTCATGGAAGGTGCAGTTCACAGTTGCTATGTGATTTACATGATCAAAGCTAATTTCTCATCAACCTGTTCACAGATGTTATTACACACCTCTGGAACAAGTGGGTCTTGAACTCGGGCCTTCTGGCTCAAGGGTAGGAATGCTACCACCAGAGCACAAGAGCCCTTGTTCAACACTTAGGGTTGAGTTTGACAAAGTGCTCAGTGTGAAGTTGCCTTTGGTGGCCAGTGTTGGACAAAGACATGGAAGACCGAGTGAAGCAGTTTAGAAAATGTCAGTGTTGTAAAGAAGTTGCCATTGGTACCTAGCTACATGGAAATGGTAGCTGGAGGCTGCACATTAACTTTGACTTGGCAGAACTTGAAGGCCAGCAGCTACTTATTGTGATATTTGTAATATGTCAATTGGGCCTTGGTTATATTCAGAAAAAGTCTCAGATTTAATAGAAATGAGCGAGGTAAAACACATCAGTGTTCCACTGTATTATCCTGTTTTGAATGGAGCAGCAGAACAAACAGGGCAAATTGTTAGGTGTGCTCTTGTCAAGCACATGTTAGATACAAATTGGAAAAAGTATCAGGTGTTGTTGAATCATAAACAGGTGAAATTTCTGCCAATTTATCTTAACGCTTTAATGCCAGCTTAATTGTTTCAAGGAAGGAGGTATCCTCTTGGGAAAAGGAAACCAGTGGTTAAGTGAGATATTTAAACACGTGGGAAACAAGAAATGTATAAAAATTGAATGCAATTTTGAAAATTTTGTAGCGTGATCATTGAGGCAAGAAGAATGTAATAGCAACCTCTTGTGGCCATTCATATATTATGTATGTGTATTTCAGAATAAGCAGGTTTAGTTCAGTATCAAATCTCCATATGCTGCACACTGTATACAGTCTGTCTTGCAAACATATCACACATGCCATTGCATTGCTGTCTTTTTAGATATAATGTTAAACTGGGGCCTTACCTGTTTGTGGCGTGTAAAAGATCTCTTGGTGCTATTTTGAAAATGGAAAGAGGAGTTATCCTAGTTGAACCATATTTTATACCTCATTCAGCATTACAAAAATCAGATTATCTGGTCATGATCACATTGCTGTTTGGGGGAAATGGTGGGAGAGACACACCTTCCTTCAGTATGTAGCAGTAACTACACGTTAACCCCACCTTTAAAACAAACTTCATTGGCACAAGAGTGGTGTGGATCTTGCAGCTGTTCCTGAGCTGCAGGCGTTTCCCATGGTTAACATATAGCAGAAGCAGAAGAGTTTTTATTTTAAATTTTCTTTCGAACTTAGTCCAAATAAGAACACAAAGAGAAAAAACACGAAGGAGAGATTTTCTTTTCAAATGGAGTTTGTGGGAGAGGCCTAAAGTTTTCAAAAGGACATAAGGGGCAACTTTTTTTTTATATATAGTGTGTGGAATGAACTGCTGGAGGAAGTGTAGTGATTGGAATGAGAGCCAGTTGGATCCCTTTGAGTATGAGTTCCCTGATCAGGGGCTGTTAACCAGGGCCAATCAGGGAGCACTGGCTGACAGATATAAACAGGAGTTTTAGGGAGTCTCTTCACTCCAGGGACCGGCTCAGACCTAGCTGGTCAGAGTCCATGTACTCTGCATGTGGAAATACTTGGTGATGGGATACTGGCCTATATGGACTTATTTCAAAGTGGTGGATGTGGACACAGTTGCAACATTTAAAAGATATTTGGAAATGAATAGGAATGGTTTGGAGGAATATAGGCTAAATGCAGGCAAGTGGGGCTAGTTTAGTTTGGGAACATAGTTGGTGTAGACTAGTTGGACTGAAGGGTCTGTTTCCATGCTGTATGACTCTAACTCTATATCCAACAGTGTTGAAAAGCACGTTATAAATGCTAGTCCTTTGTTTTTATGACTACCAAGTTGTCAAACGTCTGCTTAGTTTGGATCAGGCTGGGAAGTTGTTTGTCACAAGTGATTTTGATGGTTTGTGTAAGTTGGAATACCATTATGAGCTATCATTACTTTTAAGATAAATTTACTTGCATTTACTAAAATAAAAATAAATTCTGCCAGCGATATATTCCTGGAATCTCCTTGGGAAAACTCCCACTGCACTGACGTAAT